CCTTTTGGAGTCAGTCATATCAGGTCAGTATGTTGATGAACTCAGCAGTGCACACAGATGAAACCTATTGTGGCTTGAACTGTATCCCTTCAAAGCATGTACTATTTCTTATAATTCCACAGATGGAAAATAGATCCAAGAGGTGCATCTGTTGTCCTCTAAGGAGTGAAAAAAACCCCAAGTATCCCTGGAACCGCGCAGAGACTAGCAAAACTGTTGGAAAAAGCATGGGAAGCAAAGACTCTTGAGCTTCAAAGGGTAGGGCCGCAAGTCTCCTGTGTCTCAAAGGATGGAGGCACAGCCTCTTAAATTTCAAAGAGTCAGATCGTCACCAATTGTTAGCCACAGATACAGTGATTACAGCAGATTGAAATCTTGCCCTGTCCATGCCAGTCCCCAGTCTCAAGCCCACTGTGGCAGTTACTGTGACAGTCCATCTTGCTGAGAGTCTTCTTTCTTTCACTGACGCTCTACTTTTCCAAGTATGATGTCTCTTTCCAAGGACTGATGATGCTTGACAGTATGTCCACAGTATGTAAGACAAAGTCTCACCATCCTTGAGTCCAAGGATTCTCCCGTCTTCACTTGCTCTGGTATGGACCTCTTTCTTCTTTTGGCAGTCCAGGGTCCCTCGGTACTCTCTGCCAACACCACAGTCCAAAGGCATCAGTTCATCTTCACTCATTTGCACTCATTGTCCAACTTTAACATGCATTTGAAAATACCTTGGCTGTGGAGCTGCTGTTAAGGTATGCCAGGGTGATGGGACCAGTGCCCAAAACTGGGAAGATGGAGCTGTTAAAGCCAAAGGGCAGAACAGGGCCTTTGGGGGCTCCGGATATAGTTGCCAATGGGCAGAATGGGGCCTGTCAGAGCAGTATGGCTAAGGTTGCACTCAGATGGTCTAGGAGAATGAGGCCAAAGGAAAAATGTGAGAAGCCCAGGGCTGAGGCCCCAGAATGTGGAAAGCATGGCCCACACCCCCAAGACACCTCAAAAGTAAGAATAAGACCCAAATATACCAAATTCTTACTCTGTGCCTGGCATATACAGATGTATTTATCAGTCCTAGTTATACCAGGCAACTGTACTATGTATTTATTATAGCTTGGTTCTTCCCAAACAGTCTTAGCTTCATCTTACAAAAAAAGACGACTTTGGACTTTAAGCAGATGGTTCACTGTCCCAAGCTGGGATTTGAACCTGGGGCTATCTAATTGCTAGGCCTTTCTGACACACCTCCCTGACTCCTGTCCTGGCAGGAAAGGGGTCCTTTTGTGAACAGGAAACAGACAGGAGCTGGGAGAGGGCCAACCTGGAACCCACCCCAGCCACAGGGAGGCTTCCAAGCTGGCTGCCTGACTTTTGTGCACTGTTGACTGTTTGCATATGAATAGTGGCCCTGTTTACTGCAAAGGCGTATGTCCTTTGTCTTGGGGGGCTGCCCTGGGGCAGCACAGATGCAGATAAGGGTAAATTTGGTTTAGGGCCTTCTCTCTTGCCCAGCTTCTCCTCAGGGTGACCTCTAGCCTGGAATGAAAGGCTTCCCAATAAGTGCCTTGTTGGACTGCAGCCCAGCTGTGTGGTAGATGGAGAGGCCAGAGTAGGAGATCAACTGAGAAAAGGATTGAGGAACCCGAGAACAGGGGCAAAATCTGGCCAACAAATCTCTTAGCCTTCGCAGCAGCAGAAGCATTTGGGGACAAAAATGTCCCCAGAGTCGTCATGGGACAGAGCGGTCACAAGGATCCCTGGCTGCCTTCCTGACCAGGCAAGGTCCTCGACCTCTGGCTCACACTCAGCCCAGGGGAAGAGGGCCCAGGGTGAAAACACGAGGCTGCAGGGCTGCGCAGGGCAGGATGCAGAAACCAGATCTTCTTAGACACCTCCCCCTTGCGCTGGCCGTAGAGAATTCTCAGCTTCACTCTCTTCAAGCTGGAACTGATCATCATGGCCTCCTGGGCCTGGGTAGTTTGTGCAAGAATCAGGAGACCACACTGGGTGGTGGGAAGATACCAAGCTCCCTCCTGCCCCCCTGTCTAATCTTGTCTGCACCACAGCCCCTCACTGGGATCCTCATCTATGGCAAAGGGATCTCCAAGGGTGGAGACTGAGGCTCTGTGATGGAATAGGGGTGACCTTCGCTTAAGAGCATAGACGCCAGGCCCGAGCTTTATGGCCTGAGTACCTCTAAGAGTACCTGGACACCTACAAAGGAAGATCAACTGGAAAAGGATCATTTTGGCTTTATGATGTTTTCATATCCACCTTACAGCACAGGAGAGAGTGCTATTCTGGAAATTCACTTCAACCTCGTCCCCAAACCATCCCAGGACCAGGAGCTCTTCCATTGCCTCAGCCTTCCCCTCCCTCTGCTCCCCACTGTAAACCCTCCCTCACTCAGCTGATTCTTGAACTTCCAGCCTCCTCTCTCTCTCCTCCTGGTCCCTCTTGCTGCCTCCTGTCCTATCCTGGCCTGACCTGGCCTTTATTGGGCCTTGCCTGGCTTAGAGAGGCAGTTAAGTGTTTGAGTTCAGGATTCTCTGCCTGCCAGCAAAGTCAACACAAATGAGCAGTTGGGAAGAACTAATTAAAGGAGATTAGATGTTAACTCTTGCTTGCAAAGCCAGTGCCTCCGACTCAAGAGAGGCTCAGTCCTGCAATTCCACTCGACTCTGAAGGAGTTTCTGCTGGGGGGCAGGCCAGCTGATGATCATCACAGGAGTTTGAGAGTTCTGCAGAAAGGATGCTGACTACACAGTGACTCCTCTTAGGGCCTACATTTGATTCCTAAGGGAAATTGTTGCTCCAGACAGTAACTATAGCAACAGGGTGGAGGGGTCAGAGATTGAGAGGAGATGGACTGCAACTGTGAGCACAAACACACTGGCAGTTGTGAGGACGGTGCAGAGTCAGGCAGGGTTTCCATCTGTTGTTCATAAGGGCGTTTCTATTTGGAGTTGACTCAGGAACACAAATAATCAGAAACAGTCAGGCACCTCTTCCAGGAAGCCCTCCAGATGGTAGCAGACACATCTCTCTCTCTCTTCCTCCTGTTGAGTTTCCTACCCTCCAGGCCCTGATTGTGGCAAATACCCAGTTTCCTCAGCCTTCGCGCCATGACTGCATTCTGAGCTCACCATCAGGAGCCAGGCCGCTCAGACCCACCAGCCTGGTGTCTGCACATCTAAGGAAGTCTTTGATTTCTGTATCTGTTTGGCTGCTTTTCCCAGACTTTCTTTTTCTTCCTTCCCCTCCTCCCCAGAAAACAGAAATGCTTTTCTGATTAAAAACATAATCCATGAGCCGAAGAAATCAAAAAAGCACCTGTAATCCTAGCACTCCGAGATAAGCACTGGCCACGTTCTCCCAGACCTAGTTCTGTGCACATGCACACGTTTGTTTTACAACAAAGGGATTATACCAGGGTTGATTTTTTTTTATGCAGTCGGCAGATCCCGTGGATAGCCCTCCAAGTTAACACAACCCTACACCCCCACATGAATGGCTATGTCGCATCCCATTTTATGTTTGTGCCCTAATTTATATAACTAATCTCGTATTAGGGAGCTCTGGTGGCCTAGTGGTAAGAAGCGGTGCAATCCCAAAGTCACACAGTTTGAACTCACCAGCTGCTACACAGGAGAAAGTTGGGCAGTCTCCTCCCCTGCAATGAACTGCCTCAGCTCTGGGCTGGTTTTGACTTGACAGCACACAGCACTGACATCATCAATCCCATGTTAAGAAGTCATCATCAGCTAATGGAAAGGCCAGCAGTTTGAATCCACCAGCTGCTCTGAGGGAAAAAGATAAGACAATATGGTTCTAAAAAGATTTACAGCCTTAGAAACGCTATGAGTAAATTATCCTCTGTCTTGTAGCATTGTCAGGAGTCAGAATGAACTCAGCAGTAGCAGGTTTGGATTTTTGAAATGTAATCCCAAACTCAAACTTATTACTGGACTAGGTAGGAGTCCTGGTCATGCAATGGTTAAGCATTTGGCTGCAACCAAAAAAGTTAATGTTTCAAACCCACCATCCACAATGAGGAAGGAAAAGTCTCTCCATCTGCTGCTATAAAGATTTCAACCTTGGAAACTCTGTGGGGCACTTCTGCTCTGCCCTATAGGGGGCGCTGTGAGTCACAATTCAACAGCACACTGCAGCACTGTTGGACTTAAAAGGAGGGGTGATGTGTGGTGTGTAGGGTGTGGTGTGTGTGGTGTGGTATGTGGTGTGTATGGTGTGTGTGGTGTGGTATGTGGTGTGTGTGGTGTGTTATGTGGGATGTGGGATGTGGGATGTGGGATGTGGTATGGTGTGGTGTGTGTGGTGTGTGTGGTGATATGTAGGAAGATACACTGTTAACCTTCCTACTGTACCTCTTCAGTGGTTCGAATCCTCCAAAGGCTCTGAGGGAGAAAGATGGGAGGTCTCCCCCAGTGTGATTTACAGCTTCTGGTGGGGGAAAAAAATCACTTGAGGATCAACTATGACTCAGAACTGAGAGAATGAGAGTTTCCTCCATTATATATGTTACTATACTAAATACCTTCCCTGCTAACTATTGCTGAACATTTCCCCTCCCCCCCTTAGAATAAGATAGAGAATGGAATTGAAGTGAGGACTCACTCGTATGTCTTTAAAGCTTTAGCATACTGCAAGCTAAGCCACTTCCCTCCAGCACTGTGGGAGGGTGGCAAGCACCTGACCAGCCTTGGAGGTTGGCTGGCTGACCGGTACAGGAGTGGCCCAGTTCTGGGAAGTGACTCAGCCTATGAGAGGGCCTCTCCCGCCTGCACTCTGCCTCTCTGAGGAAGCGTCAGCCCATGAGCAGGACACCGGGTCTTGGACTCCCCTTCCTGGGTAGCGCTGGGATCTCCTTGGACTAGTACTTGGACCCAGCCTTTACCTTAGAGTCTACCCAGGTGTTTAGAAGGACCCTGGGAACAGTGGCTTGTTGTACCCTGGGTCACACCTTTGGTTTTCTGTCCTTACAGGAGGGCTCAGTGGGGCGACCATCATTGATTCCCTCGACACCCTCTACCTCATGGAGCTGAAGGAGGAGTTCCAGGAAGCCAAAGCCTGGGTTGAAGAGAGCTTCCACCTAAATGTGGTGAGTCACAGGCCCTTGGGGCATCAGGGGCAGCTGCACCCTGTCATCTCTGAGCGTCTCCCCAAGGCTGCACAGCAGTCCCAGAGCCAGGGTTTCAGTGCTGTTAGTATCTGATCCCATCCCCTAAGACCAGCCTTGGCCACCACTCTCTGCGCTGGCTGGTCCTGAGTTTCAGCCAGCCTGGCCTCAGCCATCATCCCTCTTAGACACACTAGACACACTGCTCAGACCCTAAGTCTCTTCCAGGCTGACTCCATCCCTGGCACAGCAGCAGGGAACATGGCTCTGTGGACAGGAGAAGCTACCCCTCATACTCTCCGGGGATGAGGACAGGGGTGTATATAGTCAGAGGCCCACAAGCAAACTTTCAGTCGCCTTACTTTGCAGCCCACTGGCCATGCCCGGCCAGAGGCGACAGTAATGTGTTCTAATGTCACAGAAACCCTCAATGTCAGACCTCACCCCCACTGATTGGTCTACGACGTCTTGGCTCACAGAGTGAGGCAATTGAGGCAGATTTGGGGAGTAAGAAATGGGGCCAGATGAGAGGGAACAAGAGGTCACAGTAAACACACTGCAGGATCTACCCAGGTTTCACCAGCGACAGGCCCCTGATGGAACAAAGTCGGGGTTTGGCTGCTGCGGCTGAGGCTGAAATAAGGAGGCCAGTGCCCCTCGGCCAGCATGCCGTCCAGAGCTGGGTGGAGACAGAGGCATCTGGCAGAGCCTCAGTGCAAGGGCGTCTTCCCTGGAAGGCAGCCTAAGTGCTGGCTCTTCTGCACCTGGAAAAGTCATTTTTCATTCCTGAGCTTTAGTTTCCTCAGCTGTAAGATGACATCGGTATTGTTGTTGTCGACCGTCAAGTCCATTCCACTCATAGTGATACTTTAGGACAGAGGAGAATGGTCCCATGGCGTTTTCTAGGCTGTGGTCTGGATGGGAGTAGATCACCAGGTCTCCCTGTCTCCCCTCCCCAGCCTGGAGCTGCTGGGTGGGTTCAAACTGCTCAGCTTTGAAATAGCAGCTGAAGTGCTTACCCACTGGGCCACTAGGTCTCCTTACAGCAATAACAGTACCTAATTCACAAGCTGCTTGTGAGGAATAAACATCACCAAGGGTATAAAAAAGCATTTTATAACACCATAAAATCTAATACATGTGTAAGATGGTATCATCCTTGTCATCCTGATGATTACGGCTATTCCATTGCGTTTATGACTTCTGGCTGTTTGTGTGAGGTGAGGAAGTTCAGAATCCGCCATCACATGCTCAGTGGACTTGAAGAAGGCAGAGGAAGGGAGGATGGTGGGTATCCCAGAGGCCACCCCGTTCCCGCTGCAGACATGGCTCTTCGGGATGCAGAGGGGATGAGAGGCCGTGGCAGGGCCAGTGGAGCCTGGGGACATTCAGGCAGACAATGCAGCTTTGGCTAATATTTGAAAGAATCAAGGTGGAGGCCACTCCATCTCTCTGAACCTTGACTTCCTCATCCAAAAAGAGGGAAAGAAGTCACCTGCCATTTGGGCCTCCTTGAACACCATGAGGCTCAAGACTGCTTTGAAAAGGCTTTGTCAGTGACCCACCTTAAGGTAAATATCTCAGATAGGCAGGCGTAAAGAACTAAAATAAGCCTTAGTGGTACAACAGTTAGGTGCTTCGCTCCCAACCAAAAGGCCAGCAATTTGAACCCGTCAGCTGCTGTGCAAGAAAGCGGTGGCATGGTGCTTCCATAACAGTTACAGCCTTGGAAATATTTTGGGGCTATTCTGCCCTGACCTGTAGGCTTACTGTGAGCTGGAATTGACCCCGACGCATGCAGCAGCACAGAGAGACTGAAGATTATGGCCATTACCAGAATTAACAGAGGGAGAAAAGAAGAAGTCTTTGTTTCGGGGAAAGGAGCTTCTGTTAAGGGTGATGGAGAAATTCGGAAATGATAGTGGTGATGGTTAAACAATGTGATGAGCAGAGTTAATATCACTGAATTGCATTATGTGAAGGTTATTGAATTGGCAAATGTTTTGTTACATATCTATTTGCAGCAATAAGAAAAAAAGCCCCTTGTCTGTGGAAACATTCTCTCAGATAAAGAGATTAATATTGTTGTTATCAATAATGAAAGGCCAAGGGAGGTAATGACAGGCCCCATTTATTAAGACCACCTGGGCACTGCATGCTTTTCCATGGACCTTTCCCCTGTGGCATCCGTCCTGGTGGGAGGGTCTCCTCATCCTCATCTAGAGGTGAAGGAAGCAGGGCCAGGAGGGCTGAGCATCCTGCCCCTCTTCCCAAAGCTGAGTGAGAGGCTCAGGTAGGATTTCAACCGGCTCTGAGCCTTGGCACGATGCCCAGACACCCTGATTTGCAGTCCAGACTTAAGAAAATAATAATGATTAAGGCAAGCGTGGGTGTGCCCCGAGGGCTACCGTCCTGAGGGCCTGAGAAACTGCCTGGCAGCGGTCCTGCTTAGCTGGGGCTCCTTCCTGTCTTTCCCTGATCCCTGGACCCTGCCCTCCTCTAAACCTGGGGGGCTCCCCGGGTTGGGGAGGTGGCCCCACTAGAAGAGGAACTGCCTCCCCTCAAGCCAAGCTCTGCCAGCAGCTCCCCCACAGGTTCTCGAGCCTCTGGAGCTGCACCAGCTTGTGTCTCCGGTGGCCTCCGGCAAGGGCTGGGGAAACAAACCAGGCCCAGTGCGCGCTGGGAACACGGTAAATGTGTGCCGGCAGCCTGCTAGCCAGGTGCTGCCTCACCTTTTACCATGAAGGCCATCTGGCCACCAAGGGATGCCCTGGAGCTGGATGAAGGTGTAGGCTGATTGACGGGGTGTGGGATGGAGGGGCCTGGCTGCCTCTGGGAGCCCACAGCTTTCTCACTACTGCCCCTGCTGTCCTCCCTGCTTCCTTGCAGAGCGGAGAAGCATCCTTGTTTGAGGTGAATATCCGCTACGTTGGAGGACTCCTCTCAGCCTTCTACCTGACAGGAGAAGAGGTGAGTGGGCCCTTCCTGACCGCAGTGACAATTCCTGAACTGTCCATACTGGAAAAGGCTGTTGAAGTCATTCAACCCCAGCCCCTCACTTCACCATAAGAACACAGCAGCTCAGAGAGGCCAGAGGTCCTGACTGCCGTCCTGTCCCATGCCTCAGTTCTGCCCAGTGGGCCGACTGTCCCTTCCAAAGCCAAACCACATGCAGTCGATTCCAGCCCTCAGCAGGCCTGTAGGACAGTTGTAGTCTTTATGGAAGCAGACTGCCACATCTTTCTCTTATGCAACGGCTGGTGGGCTTGAACTACTAAACTTTCAGTTAGCAACCAAGTGCTTAACGACTGTGCCAGCAGGGCTCCTTCTGTCTCCCACAGTAGTTGTGCATCCTCTGAGGACAGCACTGTGTCCACTCACCATCCACTCAGCCCCTTTGAAGCACCCAGCAAGCCTCTCGCTTAGTAGTTCTGATAGGGCAGCTGGGCTGGTTCCCCTAAGTATTTCGCTCTCGGATTAATGAAGTCAAAATTGTTACGTCATCATTTCCATCCCCTAGGACCTCTCTCCCTTGTCCTACACAACTACCCTTTAGTCTCCCCTCTTGTGTCTTTACCACCAGATCCTGGCTCTGGGTCGCAGGGATCAGAACTCTTGAGAAGAAAGGCATCCCATAGTTGTTCCTGTTGGTTGAGTGCCGCCAAGTCAGAACTGACCCGCAGCTGACCCTCCAGCAGGTTTTCAAAGGCAGTGTAATCAATTGCCCATCTTTATCCCACAGTCACTGGTGGATTTGAACCACGTGCCTTCACAGTGGCAGCACAGCTCCTTACCACTAGGCCACCAGAGTTTCCTGCCAATATGCATCTGTTGTAGGCAGGGCTTCAAACTGATTCAACCCTCTGCTGAAGATTGTCATTTCCACTTCAGATACACCAAATATGCCATTTCATTGGGCAGAAATGCAGATTGTCAGTAGAGTTGAAGCAGGTGAGCCAGTTCAAAGCTTTGCTTGTAAGCTGTGTTGGCTTCACAAGGAGGCTATGAAGGGTGGTGAAAAGGCAGCACCCTGGGCCTGGAGTCAGAAAACCTAGATTTCTTCACACTCACCTGCCTTGTGGCCTTCGGTGAGTCCCTTTGTCCATTCCTGGACTTGATTTCCTTCCCCAGCATGTTTTGTTAGTTGTCGCTAAATTGGCTCCAACTCAAGGTAGCCCCAGTACAACGTCCTGTGGCGTCTTCCCCTTCACGTGCTCACGGCCATTGCTGTAGTCCCTGTGCATTCCAGTGCCTTCCAACCCACGGGGCCCATCCACGAACACTATCAGATAGTATTCTGTTGTAGTCTGTAGAGTTTTCACTGACTTAATTTTTTTCCCCTTCTTTCTCCATACCTTTTATTTGACTTAATTTTTGAAAGCAGATGGCCAGGTCTTTCTTCCAAGTCTCCCTTAGTCTGGAAGCTCTGATGAAACCTATCTGGCATGGGTGACCCTGCTGGTAGTAAAATATCAGTAGCCTAGATTCCAGGTCACAGCCACACACAGCCACCACTGTATGACAAAATGACTGAAAGGTGGTGGTCCTTGTGATGATGATGGTCCTCTTACTCCCTTAAAGGATGGATCAAAGAGCTTCTGTGAAATGGGATCGGAGGCATAGGTCTGACCACTCTCAAAGTCATACTCTCATGTTGTTAGGTGCCATCGAGTCAAGTACAACTCATAGTGACCGTATGAACAAAAATTCTGAACCCTGTTCTATCCTGTGCCACCCTCACACTTCCTGACACACAGGAGCCCATTGCAGCCGTCACCGGGTCAGTCCACCTCATCACAGAAAGAGAAATTTGAAAACCATTGAGCGTCTTCATTTCTTCCTTGTGCGTCTTCATCTCTTCCTTGTGGGTCCTTATGAGCATAGTCAGGTTCCTAGTGCAAGGTTGCCTGAGTCCCCAGAACTAGTTACTGGTCACACATGTTCCCAGTTACCCCAAGGTGCCGCCCTTCCTTTCCTCTCCTGCCAGCCCTGTAGACACAAAGCTGTGGGTTACGCCCGCCTCCCATCTCAGTGAAGTGGAGATGAAGAACGCAAGTCGGAAAAAGCCCTCCTCACCCCACCACTGCTCACAGAGAAAGTAATTTCCACATCCCTTCAGCTGTTAAGACGGCAGCGCAGGCTGGAGTCAAGGGTTTTAGAGGCAACGGGCGTGCGCTTTATCTCCGCAGTCACTTCAGGCTTCGCTCCATCCGGCCTAATCTCCTCAGAGAGATTACGGCTTAGACCAATTTGTCTCCAAATAATTGTCAATGGGAGCCCTCAGCTTTGAACCACCCAGAGCCTGAATTTCATTTGAAAATCTTGAGACAGGGAAGTGACATATGGAGCCAACAAGGCCTCCATGTTCTTCCCTGGCATTCTCCCAGCCTCCAGCCTGTGGACTTGGTGGGACACAGGGACAGGGAAGAAGGGCTGTGGTGGAGACTCCGTGGAACTATTGCTATCCCTTCCCTCCTTCCTTCCATCTCATCTCAGAGACTGTCTGTGGTCCTGAGAACTTTCTCTGTGGTCTCAGTTCTCCAGAAGAAACCATCAGCCTGACTTCTCAGGATAAAGACCAAACAGTGAAATGAAGACAAGTGTGGCTGTAAATTGAGCTGTTCCGAAAGCTCCAGGAGACGCTGAAGTGGCAGCTCCAAATCCTGAAGCTAGCCGCCTTGTCTGGTCATCAGATCACACCTTCCACTATCAGATCCCTGCCTCCCATCATCCTGATCCCATTCTATTCCCTGAGCACCTCCTCCTGCCAGACATTGTGTGCTCAAGTGTGTGTGTTTTATTTGATTCCCACAACCACCTGTGAGGTGAGTCTAATCACCAGTTTGCAGATAAGAAAACCGAGAGTTGAAAAGAAGTAACTTGCTCAAGTTGCTTGGTCTCTATGGTCTACTGAAGGGGTCTGACTCCTAACCCACGGGCCTTCCCACTCTGTGCCTCGTTACTGCTGACTGAGCATGGGCTTGACGCACGGGGCTGATGCCTCACTTCTCTCTCACGAGAGGTGCCTGCTGAGCGAGCCTTTCCATTCTTAACATTTCCCCCAAGTGTTTGTGGAGTCAATATTGGAGGAGGCTCTGTGCTCCTTTCTGGACTGTGACCCTTCATTGCTTCAGCTGGAGCCTGCAGGATAGTCGCGCTGGATAGACCAGCGCTACTGAGACTCAACTTCCATGCATACAGAGAGCATAACCAAAGCTACAGCAGATGGCATTGCCTTGCACTTTACAGTTTATAAAAAGCACATTCACTTATATCCATCCTCTTACTTGATTTCCACAAAAACCTTGTAAAGCAGCCAGGACCCTTGTCCCCATTCCACTGTCCAGATGCGGAAACACATGAAGCATGGTGCACCCAAAGTCACAGAGCTGCTGGGTGGGAGGACCTGAACCCAGCACTGACTCCCAGTGCAGCCCCTTCTGTTGTATAAAATAGGGTTCTCATTGGCTTCTCGCACAGTGCTGTGGAGCCATGCCATTGCCCATTGCTTGCCATTGGCTACCTAAGGCCACATCTCTCCATATTGAACAGGCAGCTTGATGTCCTGAAAAAGAGCTGTTCACTATTAGCTCCACAGCTTTAGACAAGTCACATCTTTGAGATCGCACTTTCTCATCCTCACAGCTCTCAACATCTTGCCAACAAGGTTGTTGCAAAAATGGAAGATCATAGAGATGAGGTATCTAGTCTGACCCAGATGCAAAATGTGCTCTGTTCCCAGGACATTGCGCCGTCGGCACTCTCTCAGCATCCTCCCTGAGATGGCAGGAACCCTGCAGTCCCAAGCTGGGGCAGTGCCTCCTCCAGGGCTTCCATGGAAAGGAAGTGGTTGACTGGCAGAGAAGAGCTGCTAGGTTAGGTTATCTCAGAAGTTTAAGCTGGATTCAGAAGAGTGTATCATTGCTGACTTTAAATGGATCTTAGCTGAAGGCACAGGATACCAGAAGGATGTTTACCTGCATTTCATTGACTGTGCAAAAGCATTTGACTCTGGGGACCATAGAGAATTCATGGTTAACATTGCAAAGAATAGGAATTCCAGAACAAGTAACCATGCTCACATAGAACCTGTACACAGACCAAGAGGCAGTTGTTCAGATGGAGTCAGGGTACATTGCATGGTTTCAAAACAGAAAAAGTATGCACCAGGGCTGTACCCTTTCACAGTATTTATAAATTCTGTATGCTGAGCAGATAATCTGGGAAGCTGAACTATCAGCATCAGGATTAGAAGAAGCCCTGGCAATGTCGTGTATTGCACATTGGGCTGGTAACCAAAAGATCAGAGATTTGAATCTAGGAGTCACTCCACAGGAGAAAAATGAGGCAATCTGCTCCCTTTAAGGTTTACAGCCTTGGACACCCAATAGAAGGTAACCAACCATGAATCAGAATCAACTCACTGGAAGTGAGCTTGGGTTTGGGATACAGATTAGAGGAAGACTCGCTGACAGTTTGCAATATGTACACAACACAGTCTTGCTTGCTGCAAGCCAAGTACTTACTAATAAAGAATAGACAACATCCTTTGTATGAATTAAACTTGAATGTGAGGAAGACAAAGGTCCTCACAACTGAACCAGTAGACAATGTCACAGTACAATTGAAATTGTCAAGGATTTCATTTTACTTAATCTACCATCAGTGTACAAAGAAGCAGCAGTAAAGAATCCAAATGACTTAATGCATTGGTCAAATCTACTGCAAAAGACTAATTTAATGTGTCAATGAGCAAAGATGTCACTTTGAAGACCAACATGTGCCTGACTTAAGCCACGGCATCTTCATTGTCCATATGCATCTGAAAGTTGGGCAGTGAAAAAGGAAAACCAAAAAAGAATTAATGCCTTTGGGTTGTGGCAGAGAGTACTGAATATGCATGAACTGCCAGAAGAACAAACAAATCGGTCTTGGAGGAAGTACATACAGTCACATAACCTCTGAGAAGGGAGAATAATGAGATTTCATTACAGGTACTTTGGACGTGGTCTTAGGAGGGACCATCCCTGGAGAAAGGCAGGATGTTTGGCAAAATAATCTCAGACTAAAGCAGCTGACTGCCGTCAAGTTGGTTCCAATTTGTAGAAATCTTTTATCAGGTTTCTGAGACTGTAGATCTAAATGGATGGAGATTACCCATTATTCTCCCTAGGAGCAGCTGATGGATTTGAACCACCAGAGACACAGCCTTTTGATTAGCAGTGCAATGTGCTGTGGATGACATCCCCAGAGCTCCCTCGGTAAAGTACAGAGTTCACTAAAAAGAAGACCTTCAAAATGAGGATTGACACGGTGGTTGCAGCAGTGGGCTCCAGCAACAATGACTGTGAGAATGACTCAGCACCGGCCTGCAGGGGACTGCTGTAGACGGGGACACCATGACTATGACAGCTTAGCATCCTTGGGGCAGAAGGGAGACAAGAGAGTTACCGGAGCCCACCACTCAGAGTTCTCAAAGCCACATCTGAATTTAAAGTACCCCTACCACCCCAGCCTCTCAACCCTGCTTTCCTCACACAGCTCTCAGCATGTTTTAATTGCATGCGCTACAGGGAGGATTCAAAAAGACTCAAGAAGCCAGCAAGTCACCATCTTGCTCTAGTAGTGACAAGAAATAAGTGACAAGTGTTTCCCACCTAGAACAGTTGCTTAGGGGCTTGCTCTTTTGAAAAAGAAATAATATTATGGATTTGTTACTATTATTAAACTGGAAACGCACTACTTAAACATCAACCATATAAGATCAAAGGGGCAGCATTTGTCCAGAGTTAAGGTAGGGTAGACTATACCTTGTTTTTCTCCAAAAGAGTAACTGATTAATTTAAACTGCCAGCCTTTTGGTCAGCAGCCCAGTTCTTAACCCATTTCATCACCAGAGCTCCTTAAAGCTCAGGAAGCAGGAAGGGATAAGGATGAATGGGAAAGGAGAACATAAATAGGAAGTGGGAAGAGTACTATTCCTCTCTTGTGCTCCCTCTCCATCCTCTGAAGCATGATGTCCCTCTCTAAGGACTGGTCCTTCCTTGCAACATGCACAAAGTATGTCAGGCAAAGCTTCAGAATCCTTGCCTCCAAGGAGCAGCCTGGTCTGACCCTCTCTAAGACAACTTGTTTGTTCTCCTAGCCATCCATGGTATATTCAGTACTGTTCTCCAGCATCATACCTCAAAAGCATAAATTCTCCTATTATCCCTAGTCACTGTCCTACACATAGCAAGTAATTGTGAAGACCATGGCCTGGACCAGGCACACCTTGGTCTCTAGACTTACATTGTTGCCCTTTATACTCTGGAGATGTCTCTGACAGCAGACTTTCCCAATGCAATTCATCTTTTGATTTCCTGGCTGCTAATACCAAGAGTGCTGATTGTGGAGCCTTGGACATTTTTTATTAACGAGCAAAATTAGAAGATCATGTGATGTTGGAGTAGGAGGATTTATTTTGGTGACTTTAGGATACTGGTTCCATTGTAGGTATAATTGTGCAAAACTAAGAATCCAGGAAAGAATTACCAGAGAAGGTATTAAAAATAAGATTTTATATGAAAGCACCCACCTTGATCCGGAAAGGAAAACCAAGAACAGCACAACAGCTGAGCAGCCATAAGCAGAGATCATCAATACAGCTCTCAGACCAGCGGACAGAGCCGAGATCAAGTGCACAAATCACCCAATTATGTACAAAGGAAATGAAGCCTTCTTCACTTCTATCAGTACCTGTCAGTTATTCTGGTGGCTGTGTACGTGTTGCGTGCCTCACTTTCTGAGAAAGTAAATTTAATTTACTGGCAGTGTGCGCTAAGAATAAAACTGTAAAATCTAAAAATAAAAAAAAACAATCTCAATCTCTTCACCATCTATCATGCTGCTGCCAATTGGCCCAGTGGTAAGAATCTTTGTTTTCTTAATGTTAAGCTTCAATCCTCATTCAAGGCTACAGTTTTTTACCTTCTGCCACAAGTGCTTCAGGTCCTCCTCAGTTTTAGCAAGCAAAGTTGTGTCATCTGCATAACACAGATTGTTGATGAATCTTCCTCCAATCCTTATGCCACTTTCCTCCTCATATAGCCCAGCCTCCTAGATGATCTGTTCTGCATATAGATTGAAAAGGTAGGACACATCCCTGGCATACATCCTTTCCTATTTTGAACCATGGAGTGTTTCCTTGCTCTGTTCTGATAGCTGTCTCCCGGTCCAAGTATATCTTTTGCATAAGCACAATCAAGTGTTCTGGGATTCCGTTCTTCTCAGTGTTAGCCACAGTGTGTTGAGATGGATTGATTGATTCAGTGACTGGGGTCATGGGGGTGGGCGTGTCGGAGACAATAAAGTTGGCACCAGATAGAACAGGTTCAGAGCTGTTGTACATGGGGTCACTATGAGTCGCAAGCAACTTGGCGGCACATAACAGTGTGTATAGGGAACTCTGGTGACTTAGTAGTAAGGAGTTGTGCTGCCAACCCAGAGGCAGGCAGTTTGATTCTGTTAACCACTCCTTGAGAGAAAAACAGTCTCATCCTGTGCGATTTGTAGTTTCTGAAAACCTGCTGGAGGGTCAGCTATGAATGGATTCCAACTTGACAGCACGGAATAAGAATGTGAATTGCTGAATGGAAAACTAATTTGGACTGTAAATTTCACTCAAGTGACACTCACTGACAAGGGATGAAAGGAGCACAGAAAGTAGAAATAAGCCTTAAAAATAAACTTAAATCATTCATGAGCCCCTGGTGTATTTCACTGGGAAAGTTTGCAGTCAGGGACCTCTCCAAATTACTGAGGAGCAGTGATGTTAGTTTGAGGATTAAGGTCTACCTGATTCATACCATGGTCTTTAAATCACTTGTTATATACATCTGAGAACTAGACAATGAATAAGGATGACATAAGAATTGATGTCTTTGGGTTGTGGTGTTGGAAAAAAGTATTTAATATCCCATGGACTACCAAGAGAACAAGCAGAGTTATCTTGGAGAAAGTGAAGCCAGAGTGCCCCTTGGAAGCAAGGATGGTGAAGCTTCATCTCTGATTCTTTAGGCATGTTTCTAGGAGAGGCTATTCCTTGGAGAAGGACTTCATGCTTGGGAAGATGGAGGGATGGTGAAAGAGAGGAAGACCCTCAACCAGGTGGATTGACTGGAGCGATGGAATCAAAGGTGTCAGAGATTGTGAGGTTGGCACAGAATAGGACAGGGTTCAGATCTGTTGTTCATAGAGTCACTATGAGTCATACCCAAATCAACGGCACCTAACAACAACTATGGTAAACATGAGAATCTATGAGTCACCTGGGGATCTTGTCAACCTATAGATTTTGGGTGGAAATGCAAGCTCTCAGCAGGGGCCTGAAATAAAAGGAACGGTTTGGAGCTGTGTCTTGGCAAGCCAGACGGACAGCAGTACCTCAAAAGAAAGGCCTCATGGATGGTCTGCTCCTAGTGAGATCACAGCCACGAGCACTGTGCGGAGCGTTTCTACTCCATAACTCACAGGATTACCATCAGCCAATGCTGGCTGGTAGTAACATTTAAAAGTTACTGGTAATAACTCTTTGGGTTTAAACCATGCTAGAATAAATAGCCATAAAGCTAATTTTTTTCCCTTCTTTCCTTAGGATAAATTCCTAAGAGGAAAACTGCTTAAGCCAAAATTCACAGAACTTTTTTAATGAATCAGGCATCTCAGAACCATTTATGTGGCCAGAGACTCACTAGGAGCCCTGAGACCTCTTTCTGGTGCCTTTGTTGTTATATCCCTTCATACCCCAACTGTAAAATGGGGGCAGTGGGCAGGATAAGAATATCCAAGGGGAAAGAGCTTTGAAAACATCAGTCCCTTCCCCTTCTTTTACCTCTGGAGAAACCCTGGCACACAGGGGAGGCAGTGGTCTTATGTAAAGAGAAGACAAACGCTCCCACTTTTTTCCCTCAAGCTCAACCTATGGCATCATCATGGTCCCAGAGATATGGGCAGACGCCAACCACTGTTACACCACCCCCTCTTGGCCAGGTCTTCATCTGAACTTAGAAATTTACCCACAGCCTTGGTTATTTTTTCCCCCTTCATATCCCTAAGCACAGCCATAACCACTGAGTGGCATCAGTGTGTTACCTAATTCTCCTGCCTTCCAGCAGCCTCATTTTAAGGACAAAAGAAATTGAGAGTCAGAGACAATCAATTCACTAAGGCAATTCAGAGAGCAAGGTTCACTTCAAGGCCTGTCAGCCTGCCACGCCTCACACCTGAGCCACCTTCACTAACTACCATCTGCATCTCAAAGTGGCCTTTCCTACACCTCTCTAACTCACAGGACGTGCACACCTTTCCTTACAGGTGTTCCGAATAAAGGCCATCAAGCTGGGAGAAAAACTCCTGCCCGCCTTCAACACCCCCACCGGGATCCCAAAGGGCATCGTCAACTTCAAAAGGTAGGACGCTGCCTGATTTCCCTTCTGTCGTGTCAGCAGCCTCTTTGCCCACTGCTGTCTGTTCATCTGTCTGGATAGGAGCCTTGGGAGTCACCTTAGTCAAACGCATTGTATAGATGTGGAAACTGAGGCACAGGGGGAGGACAGTGCCATCTCAGCAACACAAGGAATACAAGCCCTAGGCAAGACTCACACGGCAGGAGTTTGTCACCAAACCTGACTCTCATGGTAAAGGACGTGGAGGCCTGCTCTCCTCGGAGGGAGGAGGAGCATCTTACTGCCTCACCTCCCCCCAGCCTGCTCGAGCCACCCCCCTTCCAGGAGCCCAAAGGGCATGGTAATTAGCAGCCAGGCGTTTTAACCACTGTGCCATCAGGACTTCTGGAAGAGGGTTGGCTTGACAAGTGATTCGAACCTACCAGCTGCTCTCAGGAGGACAATGTAGTCTACTTCCATAAAGAGTTGTTGTTGTTGTTGTGTACAGTCAAGTTGGAACTGACTCATAGCTGACCTTCCAGCATGTTTTCAGAGTCAATAAATCACACGAGAGGAGACTGCCCATCTTTCACCCCTGGAACTTTGGGTTGCACTTCTCATTACCACTAAGCCACCAGAGCTCTTTGTATAAAGATTGACAGCGTTGGGACAGTTCTGCTTTATCCCAGATTTACAGCGTTGGGACAGTTCTGCTTTATCCTAGGGATACTGTGAGTCAGAACTGACTCGATGGCAGTGGTACCCTGCCTCCAAGCCAGGATTTAATAACCAGCGGCCACATCAGTCCTTTAGATGGTCTCAGGAGCGCCTGGTCTGAGGAAGGACCTATTTCTGCAGCTGACCACACCCTCAACACCCAGCTGGGTTGGCATCAAGCCAGCCTCAGAACCAGAGGGGTTCTGAAGACTTAATGCCCTGGCTCAGGGCGGAAAGCCCCCGCCACAGACACTTAAGTCTGGAACTGACCATCCTAGACCAGGGTGCAGGACGTCTGACTGTTTTTAAGAATAATAAGATTCAATGTAATGTCTTTGTTTATAAAAATAGTAATTTTTTTAAGTATATGTGCTGTCAAAGTGAGCACAATAAATTACATTTTTATAGAGACAATGGACTATACCACAAATTTGAAAACACCCTCCCCCCCCAAAAAAAATCTCATGTGGTTCGGCTGGTCAAAGAAGCCCTCAGTAATATTTCTACTGGTTTTGTTCTGTAATGTTCCTTTTCCTTGGCCACTTGCATCATCCCCCTCATCCTAATCTGTCAACTTTAGGGAGCTCTGATGGCTTAGTGGTAAGGAATTGTGTTGCCAACCCAAAGGCAGATGATTTGAATCTACCCTCTGTTCTGTGAGAGAAGGAGGAGCAGACCCCTCCGGTGCAATTTAAAGCCTCTGAAAACCTCTGGAGAGTCAGCTATGAGTCAGTTCCAACTCAGTGGCACATAAGACAACCATGTGTCCCTAGTCCCTAGGGGGTGGTAGCGGTTATGTGCCAGCAAGTCAGCTGACTGATTCGTGCACCTGGTGGATTCAAACCCCATGCCTTTGGGTTTAGCACTAGGCCACCAGAGTCTTTTCTTGTTGTTGTTTAGCATCGAGTTGGAACCAACCCATAGCTGACCCTCCAACAGGTTTTGAGAGGCAGTTAATTGCATGGGAGGGGAGTGCCAGTGTTTTTCTCGCAGAGCAGCTGGTGGATTTGAATCATGTATCTCTGAGTTGCCAATGCAACTCCTTCCTACTAGGCCATCAGAGCTCCCTTTGAGAGTCCATAAGTGGTACAAGTGGTCACTGTACCCCAGTGCTTGCCAAAAGGTTGAAGGTTCAAGTCCACCCAGAGAGATCTTAGCCAATGGCCTGACAATCAGTTTGCTCCCCAAAAAATCAGCCACTGAAATCTCTGCAGAGTGCAGTTCTGTTCTGACACACGTGTGAAGTTGACATGAGTCACAGTCAACTCGACAGGAGTTGGGGCCACTGGGAGCTCCCCTCAGATTTCTTTTCTGCAAACACTGATCTTGGCGTGTGGCCAACTAGCTGTCAAGGAAGCTGAGAAACAAGCACACAGCCCTTCTGCACCCTCCCCCAGATCCAGCTTCTCCGGCCTCACTGCCCAGAGCCTGAGGTGGAGCTTAGCCCAGTGTCCTCCCTCTCCTGTGCCACAGGCTGGCCAGGCTTTGCTGTCTGCCCGGCCGTGTCACTCAGCACAGGCCCAGCCCAACACAAACCTTGACATTTCTGATTAGGAATTCTCAATGTATTTTTAGGCTCCGCACGCTGTCAATGTGGGCACAGAAGTACGTATATATGCGTATTTCCTGGCAATACCTCTCTCTCATTTTCTAAGTAAGAAAAACTATTGCTAAAAATGCTTCCTTGTTCCACCAGGAGAATGTCAGGGATGTATATGTCCTATGAGGCTTTGATTTTGCCATTTAGGGAGGGCCTGCTGCTGGCAGCTGAGCACACCCTGCTGTCCCTGTTCCCTTAGAGCCCCACAGGAGGAGCAGATGATGAGGTCCGTGCCCAGTGAGGGGAGGTAGTCCCCAAGTGCCAGTGAGCTGTCCCTGATGGGCAGGTGTATCATGAAGTCTATGCCTGGAAGGCCAGGGGCCATCCCAGGACGTAAGACCTATAGGGACCACTGGACTAGCCGCTGGGAGAGGAACAGTGGTCCATCCAAGGATGTCAGCTCAACCTCTCTGCCCCCCCTTCTCCTTTTCCCTCTCTCTCTTCCCTCTCCGTCTCCCTCTCTCTCTCCCGCCTGCCTCTCTCTCTCTCTCTCTCTCACACACACACACACACACACACATATACACATACACACTTACAAAATCATATGCATGAACTTTACTCCCTGTACAATGAATGGTACAGTTGCTGAGGAGAACAGTTTGGTGGTTCCTCAAAAAGTTGAACATAAAATTAGCATATAACCCAGTCATTCCAGTCTTATGTATATGCCTAAAATTGAAAACAGAAACATAAGACACTTGAGATCAATGTTCACTTCAGCACTGTTTGCACTAGCAAACGGTAAAAATAACAACTGCCCACCCATGGATGAATGAATAAACATGATGTGATATATGCTTGCAATGGAATCTACTCATCCATAAAGAGAAATGAAGTTCTGATACATGCTGTCGCATGGAGGAGTCTTGCGAACCTTCTGTGGACTGAAATAAGTCAGGTCCAGACAGGCAAATGTCCATGAGCCCCCTTATATGAGAGAGGCAGGTGTATAGACATCAGAGCTCATTAGTGACTTCAAGGGTGGATACAGTAAAGTCATTGCTTAGGAACACTCTAGTTCTGTTCATGGTGTTAGAATAATTTGGAAAACAATTGTAATGGTTACACAATGAACATAAATATGTCACTGAATTGTACAGGTAAATATTGTTGAATTAGTAAATGTTTTGCAGTGTTTTTCACCACAAAAAAAAAGTGGGGGAAAAAATAATAACCAGTATGCACTCTATTGCCACCCACACAAACCATACTTACTCAGCAGCTATGCTTGCCTTTGTCATACACACACTCACATGTTCCCACCATGGTGTTGTGTGCCATGGAGTCGCCTGTGACCCACAGAGACCCTATGTACAGCAGCTCTGACCCCTACACAAGGATACGTGCAGTTAATATGTTCTTTTAGGAATTCTTTTCCCAACCTCAATGAGACAGGTACACTGGGGACCTCAGTTTACTAAGTAAATAAAGAAGTGATGGCTAAGACAGATGAAATGAAGTACCTTGCCCAGGGTCATACAGCCAAGGAAGGAAAGTTAGAATCCAGGTCCTTAACAGTTACGCCGTATACACGAATGTGCACCCCCATGATGCTTCAGCCGGGTTGGGGCGGGGCTGCTGTGGGAGAGAAACCAGCGAGTCGACTTGTATATGGAGTTGGAGGCGACAGCAGAGCTCCCCGTGAACCCTCTGCCTCAGCAGCTTGCCAGAGGAGCCCATGGTCTCTGGACTCTGCCCTGAGCAGGTCACTTGGGGACGGATGCTCGGGGACACAGTGACAGACCCAGGATTTGGACTTTGATTCATCTCCACTTAATTCTCTATGTGACCTTAAAATAGTGTCTTTTCCACTTTGAGCCTGAGTATTCTCACCTGTGAAGGCTTCTCACTTCTGAAATGGAGGTAAAATAAGACGCCCTAGCTGCCTAGCACACAGCAGAAATTTAAGAGCAAACAGTAGCAACACCATAGTTGGGTTGTTTTCTATTTTTGGGTTTTATGGGTTGTTGGGGTTTTCTGGGTTCTTTTGGTTGTTTTGTTTTGTTTTGTTTTTTAAGAAAAGGCAAAAACCAAACTGCAAAAGAATACCAAATGCAGTGCCGTGAATTTGATTCTGACTCTTATGGACCCTATTGAACAGAGCAGAACTGCCCTTGGCTGTCATGTGCTCCCACAGGGTGACTGATGGGGTCACACGGGACTACACCCAAGGGCTTCTGGGTGCTCGATGACGGCCCGACTTAGCTATGGAACCGACTCATAGCTGACCCTCCACTAATTATTCAGAGGCTGTAAGACTGTAAATCACACCAGAGAAGATTCTTCATCTGGTGAAATTGAACTGCTTGCCTCTGGATTTGGCCGTGTAACTCTTTACCCACTAGGTCACCAGAGATGTGGCTGCTGTGTATTGTCGAGTCAGAACCAACCCACAACTGACGCTCTGGCGGCTTTTCAGAGGCTGTTAGTCACACAGGAGGCGACTGCCCATTCTCCTGCAGAGTGGTGGATTTGAACTGTGTGGTTTAGGGATTTGCAGTGCAGCTACTTACCACCAGGCCACCAGAGCCCTATCATGTAATAGATGTAGTAACTGAGATAAAAATAAGTTATTCAACTGCCTGAGCTTGTGGGCCAGGGAAAGGGATGTGCCACCAAGCCACTTGCCCGCCTCTGCACTGCCTGTCCACTGCAGGGAGTCGCTCGGTACAGACGGTGTGGAAGAGAGAGAGGCTGGAGAGGCCCAAGCAGGGGCCTGAGGAAATGAGAACAAAAGGCAGCTGTGGTTTTTTTAACCTTAAACTTCCTCGGGAAGGCTGGAAGAATCAATTATTCAGGAAAGCCTGTGTGTGGTCAGCATGGGAGGGCCCCAGGCAGGAGGACTACCAAGGCCTACAGGATTCACATGACCCTGCCAACCCCTGACACCAGCTCTGAGGCCTTGAAAGCTCATTCCCTCCCCAGCCTTGGTTTCCTCTTTTGCATATTGAAATTAATGTGCTTTACGTTCTGGACTTTAAAGGAGCCTCGATGCTGTATTCCGTAAAGCGGTAACACTGCTGTAACCCAAAGGCAGCACCTCTCTGGCAGTTCAGATCCTTCCGAATCTCCAAGGGAGAAAGATGGGCAATCTCCCCTCGTGCAGTTTACAGCCTCAAAAACCAGATTCTGACCATTCCCTGGCAGGAGACACCTGCAGCCTGAGTGAATGCGTGATCCAAACTGCTTGCTCCCGTACATGACATACCATTGCAGCTCAGAGAATGGAAGGGGATTTGTTTCTCCTGACAGAGCCATTGTTCTCTCTGTCATCCCATCCTCCCAGTTCTTTGACCAACAAGGTACCTCTGCTCTTGCCCTTCTTGACCTTCTTGAGTGTCTCCCCCCACCCCCCGAGTTTGGCAGGGGCTGCCTGTCATTGAAAATTAGTTAGCAGGTCATCCACCCTGCCAGCCTTGGGCTTCTCGTCAGGAAAATGCGGCTATTCCAATCCAGGGAGGAATCCTAGGGGTGGTGTGGCATGAACCCTGTACAGCACCTGGCACACAGTAGGTGCCCTCCCTCCATGCAGCTGTGACTCTCAGCAGAGGCGAGAGTCAAGTGGCAACAGCAACTGCTTCTGTCTTTTTCAGCGGCTCCAATGGAAACTGGGGCTGGGCGACGGCTGGAAGCAGCAGTATCCTGGCAGAGTTTGGATCCCTGCACCTGGAGTTCATACACCTCACCGAGCTCTCTGGCAACCCAATCTTCATGGAAAAGGCAAGTTTTCCCCGCTGCTCCTCCTAAAACCACCCTCTGCCTCCTCCAAACCAGGAACAGACATTCAGCAGGGAGCTGGAGAAACCAGGAGCCTCCAGTCCCGGCAACTATAGCAAATAGTCATTTCCAGGACATCTCACTGCACCCTTGTTGCCATGTGGTGGGAAGGTGGGCACAGGGAGCAATCTGGATTATGCTGAGGGCAGGAAGAGACAGCTCTGCCAGGGAGGAGGTTTTTACTGATACGTGTCAGCTCAGTAGTGGTGGCAGCTGCACATGTGTGAAATCCAAAGAAAGTGAAACAGCTAGCAGCAACGCGCCACCCCACATTGGCAGGAATTGGCCACCTGGTGCCGACAGCCCCCTTCCCGGGGACATTTAACGTATTCGTAGGCAGTCTGCCTGCCGAGGCCTTCCAGATGCCAGTCTAGCTCATGCCGTCGCAGGCTGGCAGGAAACACCGGGACAAGTAGACGCTCAGTCTGCTCACCTCCACTCCCTGCCTTGTGCTGGAGGTGCCGCCTGGAGCCGCACTGTCTGAGGCTCCATAGGAGGTGGGCCGTGGATCCTGGCCACCGGCCTTCTATCTACCCTCCAGGAGGGCAGGTCCTCAGCTGGACAGCCTGTGGAGTCCCTACTATCCAGTGTCTCCTTGGAACTGCCCTAAGCCAAAGAACAGACAGCGGCACAAGTTGGCCCTCCAAGCAGCATTCAGGCTCTTTCAGCAGTGTCCCTGCCCTTTCTCATTCTCCAAAGCCCTGCAAGAAGAACCTTCTTCAGGCCCTCACTCCCATGGTCCATGTAAGCCCCCCACCTCTATCCAGGGACTCACATGTCCAACAAGTCACAGAGTTGTCCTCTGGCACATGCAGTAGACAGCAGATCTCTGAGCCCAAGAATCCCCAGACCTGGGACTCTGTATTCTTAATAAGTATCCAAGTGCTTTAGACTCCAGTTTTGAGACTGTTGGATCCCCAGTGTAGGATCACCCAAGTGTTCTCTCTAGATCACTCTGACATAGAGTTCACTCCTACCCTCTAGCAGTCCGTCCCACTGTCAGACCTTCCTTCAGAAGCCTTTTCTTTATATTGAAGGGGCTCTGCCTCTCTGCAGTACCTCATCATGAAAGTTCAAGGAATACATTTAAGTCTACCTCCCAATGGGTCTTATTTTCTGATACCATTCTTAGCCCCGTCCCTCACCTCACCCTCTCTATCTCCGTTGTTCTTGAAGTGTATCCCTGTAGCGGGACTCTGACCAGCTCAGAATGCAGTGGGACAGGACCTCAGTCTACTCCCTGGTTCAATTCAACCCATTGCTGTTGAGTTGATTCTAGCTCATAGCAACCCTTCATTGAGTTTCCAAGGCTGTAAGCCTTAAAGGGAGAAGACTGCCCATCCTTCTCCTTCAGAGCCTTTTATTTTCCAACTGCCAGAGACACTCAGCCTTTCAGTTAACAGTGCCACACACTACAGGCTATGATGCCCCGAGAGCCCCTTCAGTCCCTGGTTCAGTCTGTAAATTATAGTGACAGTTGCCCACTGTGTGCTTCTACTACGTGCTAGCACCCTGTGTTGTTGTTAGGTGCTGTTGAGTCAGCAGGACTCATCCTAACCCTGTGAGCCACAAATTGGACCCTTGCCCGGCCCTGCACCCTTATCCCAGTGCTGAACCCCATTGTCGCAATCACTGAGTCAGTCCCTCTCACTGAAAGTCTTCCTGTGAATGCTCCCAATATCCAGCCCTATGGGGTGCATCCTTCTCTTTCCCATTTTACAGGGAAGAAAGCTAAGACACACAGGGTTTGAATAACCTGCCCCAGGCCATCTAGCATCAGCAACAGTGAAAAGCCAGGGTTCCAACCCAAAGTATGTTAGCTCTGAAGGCCCTAACATCCAGACCCCTGCTTTCTAGAGCAGTGGGCTCCAGGCTTGCCACAGAAAGCCTTCTCCAGAGTCCACCCCCCTCCCCCCGTCTGTGTCCCTCTTTCTCTGTTTACATTCTCTGGCTATTTTCATCCTCCAATCATGCTTCTCACAGAGGCAATTATTGTCAGTAAACAAATTGACCCAAATTCTAGAAGCTCCCTCACCCTCTGGGGGAGCTCATTTGGCTGCTTCACTGCTCACCACCCGGACCGTCCAGAATCACTCAGGTACAAGCATGTTCTTGTCCCCAGTAATGGGCTCTGTTAACATGAATGGATATGAAATCTGATGTGGTAAAGCAGAGTGCTGTCCTCCAGCAAGAAAGGGCTGACAGCTAAAAGGCTGCTCTCCCCTGCTCCTCGCCTTGTAGATAAATCTATTAGCGTGACTCAGGGCTCTCTCTCCTTGGCAGATTCTGTACTGGGTCAGTGTTACTCTGCCACCAGAGAACAGATGCCTATGGATGAAGCCTATGGAATGTGCTCCCTACCATCCAATGCCCCAGAGGTTGTTGGTCCGGCCCCTTCTTGCTCTGGCAGGGTAGCCTTTATCTCAGCACCCTGATCCTCTGACCTGGGCCAGCTCCGAGAGGTGCAGAGAACGTGGTTAGACAGCCCTGCCTCACATCCCAGACAGGGCCCCCTGTAACCTGGGTGACCAGAAGCAGGTCACTACACTCTCTGAGATTCAAGTTTCTGAAATGGGTTTGGATTGAGGGTTGGAGATAATTTGTTAAAGGGCCTGCCTCAGAGAAATTTTGTGAGAAGTAGTAGCAGCTGATATTGTTACCATTGTTTTTATCAACTCTACTGAAACCCTGAGATCCCTCTTAAGGTATGAGGGTGTTTAGGACCCCAGACCTTTCTTCTAAAAGTTTTGTACAAAATCTTATAAAATGGCATATGACTAAGGCAGCCACTCAAACTCACCAGCGGTTCCCTGGGAGAAAACTGAAGATTTAGAAAACTAAAGAGTTTTCTTAAAAACAAACAACAAAACCACCAAAACCCATTGTCATTGAGTCAGAACTGACTGAGAGCTGACCCTCTGAATTTCCAAGGCTATAAATGACAGAGAGAAGATTGCCCATCATTCTCCCTTGGAGCCACCGGTGGATTTGAACCAGCAGAGAGGCTCAGCCCTCTAGTTAGCAGTGTCACCCCCTAAAGATTTGGTCACCAGAACTCCTCCACATAAAGATTACTGCATATGTTATGGGGTACTCTGATCATACAGGGTCACGCTGAGTTAGAATTGCCTGTAGCAACAACAAAGTTGAACCATATGAAATTACCAGTATTTGACTCTTAGGGAGCCTATTAAAAATGACAGTTTTACCTTAACCCTTAGAAATGAACTCCTGCCACTTCTACTGTTATTATTGTTAGGTGACATCTAGTAGACTTCACCTCACAGCAAGCAACCTTTTGCACAACAGATAGAAACCCCACCCCAAAAGACCCATTCCCCAAATCAATATGCAGTGAAGATCGGGTGAGAGGAGAGGAGGGTAAAATAAAGTGGGATCTCTTGACAGGGATCTTACACACACATGTTTGGGTCAGGCCTTTCTGCCACCACATCCTGCACTTGAGGACCAGGGATCCGGGCACAGAGCCTGCTGCTTGCCCCCCACCTGCTAGAAATGATCCCCTCTGGGAGACTAAACCAGCTGTCCTCAGTGGGGCTGGGACTCAGTCAATGAAAGTGCACCTGCTGTCCCTCTCTCGGCAGGTCAGGAACATCCGCAAGGTCCTCAGGAAGATCGAAAAGCCCTTCGGCCTGTACCCCAACTTCCTCAGCCCAGTGAGCGGGAACTGGGTGCAACGTGAGTATAAGGACACTGTCCCTCGCTGTCTGTCCCTCGCCCACCCAGTGCCTGCTACCTCAGGCCTTGTGTCGGTGCATTCAATAGTCATGTCCCCAGTGAGGTATTCAGTTGGTATTGGATGCCACCTGTCTCACCAGGCCTCTCAGGGTTTTTAATGGTTGGGATGACTTCCTGTTGTGATAGCGTCCATCTGTTAATAAACACCGCCTTGTGCCTCCCCACACATAAGCTGCTTCCAACATTCTGTCAGTGCTACTGGGGGCCCACCGAAGCCACCAAAGCTTTGGGAATGTTCCAGAATAGAATTGTCAACTCTAAAAATGGCTCCAGAAGAGAGACAGCCTTTCTAAACCCCTTTGATCTAATTCCCCCACCTACAACCTTAATTTAAAACCACACACAACACAAACCAACAACCACCAAACCAGCTTTTTAAGAGGGCTTCCAAGAGCAGGACAATAACTAAGGATTGATGCCTTTGAGTTATGATGCCAGAGAAGAGTGTTGAATATACTGTGGACTGCCAGGAGAACAAACAGGTCTGTTTTGAAGAGGGTGAAACCAGGCTGCTCCCTGGAGGTGAGGATTTTGAGGCTCTGTTTTACATACTTCAGGCACGTGGCCAAGAGGGACCAGTGCTTGGAGAAGGACGTCACGCTTGGGAGAGTAGAGGGACAGTGCAGGAGAGGAAGACCCAGGATGAGATAGACACGTTGACTGGAGAAATGGGATTAGGTCTGTCAGAGATGATGAGATTGGCTCAGGATAGGACCTGTTTCAGAGCTAATGTACATAGGGTCAGTATGAGTCACAGGCGACTCGATTTCACATAACAACAAGAACTATCAGTCAAATGCAAAACTCATTCATTTCTGTGAATTCAATCCTGGTGTCTTAAGCTTGGAGTCTGGCTGGTGCAGACAGTTAACCTACCCGTATTAATGGAAGTTTAGAGGTTCAAGCGTACCCAGAGACACTTCGTCATTGCAAAATCTGTGGAGCACAGTTCTACTCAGATACACTGAAGATTGCCAGGAGTCTGAATTTACTCAGTGTTGTTTGTTAGCTGCTGTTAAGTCACTTCCAAATCCTCATAACCCTTTGTACAATGGAACGGAACCTCTGCTCTGTTCTGCACGGTTCTTAAAACCATTGCTCTTTGAGCCCGTTTTTGGAGCCATGGTGTCAATCTTCCTTCAGGATCTTCTTCTTTTCCACAGACCCTCCGCTTTCCCAAGCATAGTGTCTTCCTCTGGGGACTGGTCCCTCCTAATAAATGCCCAAAGTACATAAGTAAAGTCTCACTATCCTCACTTGTTAGAATCAAGCTGGAAACTCTTCCTCCAAGACAACGTCTTTGTTCTTCTGCCAGTCCATGGTATATTTCATCTTCTTTGGCAACACTATAATTCAAAGCCATCGATTCTCCTTTGGTCTTCCTTATTCATTGTCCCGCCTTTGCCTGCATAGAAAGCAAATGAAAAATACCACGGTCAGACACACTTTAGCCCTGAAAATTACATCTTTGCTTTTGAACACTTTAAAAAGGTCTTTTGCACAGATTTTCCCCATGCATTTGATTGTTCTTGTACTATTGTTACCATGGAATTGATTATGGATCCATGTAAAATTATATCACTGGCAGCTTTAATCTTTTCTGCATTTATTTTTATATTGTTTATTAGTCCAACTGTGAGGATTTTTTAAGTGTTTTTTATGTTGAAGTGTAATCCATATTAAAGGCAATAATTTTGATATTCATCAATAAGTGCCTCACATCTTCTCCACTTGCACTGAGCATGGTTGTGCCATCTGCATGTATCAGGTTGTAAATGAGTCTTCTGCTACTCTTTTTTTTCTTGTCATGTGCCATCGAATAGGATCCGACTGGCACAGGAGGAGATTGCCCCGCCTTTTCCAGAAGAGCATCTGCTAGATTCGAATCTCGCGCCTTCGAGATTGCAGTGCAGCTTCTTGCCACTAGGCCACCAAAGCTCCCTCTTCTGCTACTCTTTTTTGTTTTTTTTTTTAAATTATTATTAAATTTTATTAGTTTCAATGAACATGCACAGGGATTCTGGGCTTTCCCTCCTTCATTGCCGCACCATTCTCTCCACCCTCCTCCCCAGTTTGTTCTTCTTCCCCGCCATCCGAATGTCTGTTTTAATTGTCCAATTGCCACAGTACTTGTCAAAGTCAGTTCTGATTAATCTCCTTTGTCGGTGTGTCCTTTGCCATTCCCTATCACTCCTCCCTGAGAGAGACTTCACCCTGATTCATAAGGAAAAGGAGATGGCGTATTCTCTTAGCTACTTCCTGCTGAAAAGGGACGCTGTGGGTTTCAGGGTGAAGATCTTCTCTTACTACTCTAAAGGGCCCCTTTGGCAGTAGGAAACACATAGACTATTATGGAGATTGATTTTGGAATTTAGATGCACTCTTATTGATTGTGCTTGGCCGTACATGTTCATATCCTTGAAGATGTATCATGGGGGTGTTGCAACCTAGAAGACACAAATTTGACTAACAAGTTATAAGTACATGAGTCAAAAATTATGGAAAAGTAAAAGAAAGGATTCTTTCATTGTTTTACAAACCCTCCCCCAGGTCCCCTCCACCATGTAGCCCTCGCTCTAGACTCCTGTGATGACAGAAGTACCTAGTCATATATCTCTTTTAAACAGTTTTCTCCCTCCTCTGTTTCAGTGCAGTACTCTTGATGCTGAGTTCTTCATATAGTCCAGCTTCTCAGGTTCTTTGTGGAGTGTGCAGATTGAACAAAATAGGGTGAAAGGATACAACTCTGATGCACACCTTTCCTGATTTTGTGGCTGTTTCTTGGTCTTTGTACAGGTTTCTCATAAGCATAAATAAATGGCCTGGAATTTCATTCTTCACAATGCTATCCATAATTTGTTATAATATACACAACCAAATGCCTTGGTACAATCTATTAAACAGAGATAAACATTTTTATGGTATTCTCTGCTTTCAAGTAAGAGCCATCTGACATCAGCTGTAATATCCCTTGTTCCTTGTCCTCTTCTGAATCTGGCTTGAATTTTTGGCAGATCTCTATTGAAAAACTGGTGTGACTCTTAAAAATTATCTTCAACACAATTTACTTGCAGGTACTATTAACCTATTACCTTCAAGTGAATTCCAACTCACAGCAACCTTATAGGTTAGTGTAGACTCTCCAGAAAGTTTTGTCATTATTGTTCTTATATGCCTTTCAACTGTAATCAGCCTTCCAGTAGGTTTTTAGAGACTGTAAATTGTACAAGAGGAGACTGTCCTTCTTTCTATCTCGTGGCACCTGGTGGATTCAAACTGCCTGCCTTTGAGTTAGCAGTGCATCTCTTTACCACTAGGCCACCAGAGCTCCCTCGATAGGAATTACAAGGTATAAACCTTCACAAGAGCAGACTACCTTATCCTTCTGAAGAGCACTTGGTAGGTTTGAACCAGCAACATTTTCATTTGCAGCCAAGCATTTAACATCTGTGCTCCCAGAGCTTCTATTTGTAATACTTGTTGTTATTGTTATGTGCCATTGAGTTGGAACCGATTCGTAGCTGACCATCCAATGGATTTTAGAAGCTTACCTAATCACATGGGAGGAGATCATAGTTCTCCTATGAAGCAGCTGGAGGATTTGATGTATCTGAATTTGGGGTGGCAGCACAACTCCTTGGCAGTCAGCCCCCAGAGCTCCCTGTATGTTGTTGTTATGTGCCATCGAGTTGATTGCAACTCATAGCTATCCTACATACAACAGCTCTAAACTCTGCTCTATCCTGTGCCAGTCTTATTGTCTCCAACACACCTTCCCCATTATGCCAGTCACTGTGTCAATCCATCTCATCGTTGGTCTTCCTCTCTTATGCTGCTGATGTCATAAGGTAGGAGTTTTCAGTGATACAGTTACTATATTCCTCTGTTAATGAAAAGTGTCATGTCTACCCAGAAGCACCTCAGGAGAAAGGCATAATGATCTACTTCAGAAACATGAGCCCCTGCGAACCCTGTGGGGCACAGTTCTGCTCCGAAATACCTGGCTCTCCGTGAGTCCAGATGGGCTCTGTAGTAATGGGGTTTTATCTTACAAGATTCAACCCAACCATTTCCTCTTCTCTGTTCAGAGGCTTGTTTCTCAACCAGCTGGCTTTTGTTCATCCCACAAACCCCAGCCCCACACCCCAAAACAGAATAGGGACGCAGGTCGCTCAGCTGGGAAATCTCCCAGGTTCTGGGATTATACTGCCATATTTGAGAAGCCTGGCTACAGGATAAATAGATATCAGTTCATTATCCTCCTGACAAAATCCTCACCATATGGTCATGGTTAAGGGAATTGGCTGTGACAAGTTCCATGAGCCTCGCTTCTGGGGACCTCCCAAGCCTCAGAGCCCCACTACCTCCACCTAAACAAAGACTCCTGTCCCTTTTCCTACCTCCAATTCCAGGGGTGGGAGCAGAGGAAGAGCGCAGGCACAAGGCAGACAGGAATCTAAATGACTCCGTGGTTTGCAGGAGTTCATTTGCTCTTTTTGAACCTTGATTTCTTCTGCAAAATGGGAAGAATAGTGCTTGCATTCATGGCTTGTGAGTTGCTCCTGGGAGGCAGCTGGTGTCACAGTAACAATGACAAGGATATTGTCTCACTTGTCCTAGGTCTGAGCTGGGGCCCAGGAGACTGTCCTGACCCAGGGGGCTGGGGACCAAGGTTGCTCTGTTTGGCCGCAGGTGTCACTGAGACCTGGGACTCGAGAGACTCTTGAGCCACCATAGCTTTCCATGGAGGATTTGCTGCATCTGGCCTGTGTGGCCTCAGCAGATGGTAGACAGTGATGAGTGTCCATGGTGTAGGGGGCTACACGAGGAGGAGCCAGTCTCTCAAGCAGGGCACAGCCAGGGGCTTCAGCTGTTATGTAGTCACCAGTGTATCCTGAGTGCATGTGGAGCACAGATGTTCGCAGAGCTCTGAGGCAGGC